AGACATTAAAAATATGACTTTCTACCTTTGAGTTTGAAGCATCCACTTTTATTGTATCACGATTACATGAAGTTATTACATTTTGCATTTCACTTGGAGAAGACAACATATAGTACAAGTACAACAATCTATGATTATGTAAAGACACCTTATCCTGAAGTTTCTGCATTCGAGAAGATAACATAACAAAGAAAAATACAGTCAACCCTGCGGTGAGTGCGTGCCGCGTTATAACGAAACCGCGCTATAAGATTTAACCGTACAAACGAGGCTAATTCGTAGCGTGTTCTATGGAAACCGTCTACCGCGTTGTATGGAAACCGCGCTATAAGAAACTCGGAATTAGTACAAATCACATCATTCGTACCGCGTTGTATGGAGACCAATAAATACAAATGACAAAATAAATTATTTTTATTGAATTGAAGAGTTCATATAAGGATTGATAAAAAAAAATGAAACAAGAACTAAACTAAAAGACTGTTTTTCAACAAAAACAATGAAGACTTTTGTAAAATTATGTAATCTTTCAGATATGAGTCGCCTAACTCGTCTTCTTTTAATAGGCAAAATGTCTTCATCACTTAGTTCATCTTCGCATTGATTTTCGATTGTAGCTTTTTTTCTAACTCCACTAATTCGTTTTCCTTATCTTCGTTTACCAATGCATTTGAGGTGGATGCATCAATTAATTCCATCAGTTCTTCCTCATCTAAAGTGCGTTTGCGTCGAAAATAAAACTCTCTTACAATATCTAGTTACTAGAGTCATTCATAGGCTGCACTGAAGGAACTTATGCTGTTGAACTCTTGTAAGAGTACCGCGTTATAGGAGGGCTGTCGCAATTTCAGCTCCGCGTTATATGGAAACCGCGTTATAGGAGGGTTGACTGTACATACAAATAATTAAAACATAGAACATTTACACTAAATGATCAACAACAACAAAAATATTACATTCCATATTTGAATCATATCTGTTCCAATATTATCTAAAGAAGATATAACTAAGATAATCAGAGAAGACATAACAAGATAAAGTGAAAGATTCCATAATATTATTATTTGAATTTGAGGATAAGAAAAACAGTTTGAATCTTCTTAAATAAATGATGAGTTTAGAAAATGTAAATGTATTTGATATGGATCAAAGTAATTAACAGCGGCGTTATCTAAACATAAACAGAGAATTTTAAATACGTAAGAACTGGATGGTGGCCAAGTGTCAGGGCCGGGAAGGAATTCGGGTACATTTTTTGTACCGTCCTAGAATGAAAAATTGAGGAGAACGAGGAAACGCGCGGCGACCGCATCTTCGGGGCCAAAATAAATTATGTAACGACGACGTCTGCTACGATCGAGGGGCGCCAGATGAAAGACGCTCCAAGGAAATTTGTGTAAATACGAATATATATATTTTATACCAACAACGGACGGCAGCAAGGCACAAGTTCAACTGTTATAAATAGTTTCATCTTGAGTTTGACGACCGACGATGGTCTTGTTTATTTTTTTTATTATTATTTATTTTGCACGTTCAAATTCAAGCTATTCCAGAGGAAAATTATTTCCACAGCTGTTGGCACTCAATATAATACAACATTTATTGAATATTGAATATCCTTCAACGTTTTATGGACATACATAAAAAACACGACAAGAAAGCAATACGATCAAATACATTTTCATTAATTGCGACACTCCACTTTTTTTGCCAACGATTCTTCGTGTTAATTGATATACGTACAAATACAAAAATAATAACGTAGAAATAAAAAATATACTTATTCAGTATCTCACTGGTTATTTTTGTTACAAGGCTTATAAATTTCTTCAAACTTTCAACTAAATTTTTATAAATATTAAAGCGATTTGCAAAAGTTACTAAATATCCTTCAATTTGCTTTCAAAAAACATCGAGACAACAAATACCGGAAGTTATTTAAAAAAAAAACAACAACAATAATTTAAATATTTATATCGAAATTTCCATTCTTATACAATTGATTTACAAATCAATGGAGTTTATTAATTTGTATAATTACATAGAAAAACTGTGTACAGCCTTTTTTATACTCAATACATAGATTAAACATGCGAACTGTTTTTTTTTTTGTATGGATAAAAGTTTCGATTTTATTATTGGAAACCTTGGCTCGTTACAAGAAAACAGAACATGCATAAGTACATACAGTTACATTGGTTATTCATTTAACCGCAAGGAAATATATAAAAAAAAAGAAAGAAACATTACTATTACAGTATTCCAAATCAAACATATTTCCACGAATCTTAGATAACAGCTTATTTGAGTATTTTGACTTAAGTTTAATCAGACTGATTTTACTCATTATTTATGAGAAATACTATCATAAAACTTTATTATAAATATCTTCCATTTGGCTGCAATTAGGACTAATCAAGTGAAATCTGAAAAAAGTCATAGAAAATTCAGCAAAAAACAAGCAAAATCTTCGTGTCTTTAAGTTTCGCAAAAGATACAACAGATATATAATATATCAATATAATTGTTTACGATTATTTTTAAAATACAAGTATTTTTACAGATAAAAAAGGCACAAATTAACAAAAATTAATACATGTTAATATAATAATCAAATAATTTGTATTACTGTATCAATTACAGTTGTCTTGTACATAGTTAATTGTGTAGACACAAATGATTGCTTTATTCTACAACATAGATTTCAAAGAAAATAAGAATGTCCAAGATATATGAATTATACATTGGTTTACAAATCTTGATTTTACGAAAACGAATTCGTAAAGACATAATAATGAAAATCTCTTTTAATATTTGAATTTTTCAGAAGAAATATAATCCAAACCTACTGTCATCTATTTATCCCTGGAAATTTTAGATTAGATCTGTAACATGTAACAAGTAAAGATGAAATCACACATAAACTTGTGCTCTTGTTTTGTTTACGTTGATTAAATAACAAGTTAACTATGCAAAGACAATTAAATGTACGTATCGTAATTACTATGGTATTGTTGGAATTACGTAAGGTCGACACGAGCGGCATTCGGATGAAAAAATTTGAATGCGAAATGAGGTCCATAAAGTATTGTGCGACTTTAATTGCTTCATAGTCGTTTGGATTGCAAACAGCGAAACGGAAACACGACTAAGCTGTTTCGAAGTTGAATTTGAAGAGACGTTAGTTGAAGTTCGCTTCTCTTCTCTGCAGTTGCAATTCTTATAGGAAACATTACATTATGCATGCTTATATAATTGTCACGTTGATATGGGATAGGTTGTGTACAGGCGTTGAACCATGGCAACAAACACTTTGCTCCTGTTGCCAAAGTTTGTTTATGGCCGCAGCAGAGGGGTCTTTCTGCTGTTGTTTTTTTGGACGGGGGCCCAAGTTTTTTGAAAGTTCCCTCCGGGGGGCCTCGATCTACATTCAGGACTACTCTTCTCGTCGTGAAGCCAACAAACGAAACACGACCTACCGAACAAACTACAAAACAAAGCAACAACAACACACGACATGGAGAGACGTAAAAAAACAGTGCATGATATACACGTTACAGGAGGAAAAAAAAAGAGGAGAATTGTAAAGTGTAACCCACTCACCTTCCTTCATCGTTTTGGATTGCGTGGAAGCGGCTCCGCTGCTGTGGCTCTTGTCAACTGTGCAATACATTCTCACACTTGCTATCACAACAGTATCAGTCACTTTCACCGAATTAATTCGACCATTATTTCGCTAAATTCTGCGAGTTTTGCGGGAACACCGAACGACGCACTTACAAACACCACCAATACTCGGCCATTACTATTTTTAGCCGGGTTCTGAACCGCACAAACAGATGTCTGCAGCGCGTTTGACCTTCATTCCAATACCAAACTGAAGTTGACTCTGTTATAAATGAAGTTCACACTACAACAGTGATCATCAAACATCCACATTCAAATATTTAAAGTCATATTTTAAGAAACACACTTCCCTTTCAGTTTACCACAGAAGGAAAAGGTACATCCTTTAAAACAGTGGTTTCCAAACTTGATGTTACTACGCCGCCCTCAAAAGTATGTAATCATTTGGCGCCTCCCTCCATTTCATAAAAGGAACGCGTATTACAGCAATATGGATAAGAGCACAGGAATGTATCTATACTTGATGGATTCCCCAAACATTCAGCTTTCACATGCATATATTGGATTCATTCTATCTATTATAGTTTTCGAGTAAATCAATGAAATATGAAAACACTGCTACTAATATTCGCGCCTCCCTTTAGAGAAGCCCACGCCTCCCCAGGGAGGCGCGCCTCACAGTTTGGAAAACGCTGCTTTATAATAAATATCAAGCTTAGTAATAAGCACTGCAACTTTCAACATATTCCCAGCCTTTAGTTCTTCTCAATCCTAGAAAAGAAATCAAATTGGATTTATTAAAGAATTTCATACAACTTAATTATTAATATATCAATATAAATTAACTTTAAGTATTAACTAATAACAATATCCGAAATTGTATTTACTTTTTACAAGTATTGAACTTTTGAATCAATATTCAAATTTTAAATTATAAATAAACCAATAAATTGAAGTAAACTAATCTGTTTTATAACAAATAATAACTAAATGTAATACAAACTTACTATATGTTAATGAAATCAACTTTGGAACTACTTCTGAAGTACTTGAATGAACCACGACTACAGCTGATCCTTGTCAAAGTGATAAATTAACTTTAAGTATTAACTAATAACAAGATCCAAAATTGTATTTACTTTTTACAAGTGTAAACTTAAAAGTTTTAGAATCTCTGGGTTATAAATTTCAATTGAACTTTTGAACCAATATTCAAATTTTAAATTATAAATAAACCAATAAATTGAAGTAAACTAATCTGTTTTGTAAGAAATAATAACTAAATGTTATACAAACTTCACTACAAACTTACTATTTGTTAATGAAATCAACTTTGGAACTACTTCTCAAGTACTTGAATGAACCACGACTACAGCTGATCCTTGTCAAAGTGACGTGTGTTTACGTTTTTAGGTTACATCCATCAATAATAATGCTCTTGTAAATACACCTATGTTAAACAGTAAACAATGTCGGTTAGCATAAAGATCGAAGATGCACAGCCTTCGCTGCCCAAAGTTCGCCTGAAGATCATATGCTTCGACATCACGAATTACTCACAAACAAAGCAGTTCCTAATTTGTTCCACAGCAGTCTTCATCTTCTTTGTGCTCTACGGATACATGCAAGAACTCATCTTCACAATAGAAGGCTTCAAACCTTACGGATGGTACCTTACATTAGTCCAATTTGGTTTCTATTCCATCTTCGGTTTAATTGAGAAATATGCAACTAGCATCAGCAAGAGAAAGTAGTACAATAATACTATTAATGTAAGCATAATATTGAATTGTTTGTTTTAGAATTCCAATTAAAACTTATATTTTACTTGCCGCATTAACACTGGGCACTATGGGTTTTTCAAACTCATCCGTTGGATACTTGAATTATCCGACTCAGGTGATTTTCAAATGCTGCAAACTGCTTCCAGTGATGGCTGGTAGCATTCTCATTCAAGGCAAACGGTACGGACCATTAGATTTCATTTCTGCCTCCTTAATGTGTGTCGGACTAATACTTTTTACTTTGGGTTTGTAATTAACAGAAAATCTATTGGATTATTTTGATTCTGGTAATTTAATTTGTTCTTCTTTTAGCTGATTCCAAAATATCTCCCAATTTTAATACAAGTGGTGTGATCATGATTTCTCTGGCATTGCTTTGTGATGCTGTTATTGGCAATGTGCAGGAAAAGTCCATGAAGAAGTCAGGAGCTTCAAATGCTGAAGTTGTACTGTATTCTTATTCCATTGGATTTGCTTACTTATTTATAATAATGGTGATAAGTGGAAGTTTTACTGATGGTATTACATTCTTTGCTCAGGTAAATATAATACAAACTAATTTGAATTTACAATAAGAAAAGATAATTTTCAAAGATTTTGTGTCTTTTTCAGAATCCCAAACAAACATATGGATATGCATTCATCTTCTCTTTGACTGGTTATTTGGGAATACAGATTGTCCTGACTTTAGTGCGAACTTGCGGAGCTTTCGTGACCGTCACTGTTACAACATGTCGAAAGGCTATGACCATCATAATTTCTTTTATATTCTTCAACAAACCCTTCGTCTTCCAGTGAGGATAGCTTAATAATACATTTAAAACCTCGACTGATCGCTTTGTTTCCAGGTATTTAACTTCCGGGCTTCTTGTGGTCATAGCAATTTACCTCAACTTGTACAGCAAGAAGAACCCCATGTCTTTTGATGATCTCTTCTACAAGATCATTTATCTGAAGAGGTACATCCCGTTGGGACACACCAGGAAGCAAGAGCGATTCCACAAGCTCTCTGTAAGCAATTATTAGATAGATATACAAAATTTGTATAAAAGCTAAAGAAAATAATAAAAATAGGTAAATTAAACAAGTTTGTTTTTTTTTTAATATAAAGGTATTTGATGAATAAATGTCTGTGTTTGTAGCATATTTTTTTTTATTTTCTTAAATTTCATATATACAAAAGGTCATGTCGAAGGGTACGAAAGGTCTATATAAAATTTTGTATACTAAACTATGGCATGTTATTTGTTCCATATCGAAATCATCGAATCGATGAACATAATATATATATATCGTATATTTATATAAATCGTGATTCTAATTCTCTTTCCTCCTCCCAGCTTTCGTTTCACGTTTTTTCTTCTTCTGAATTACCCTTGTGTTCTGGACGAAGTTTAGCAGTTTATATAAATGCTAAAAATGCATACAATCACATACACATATATGCACACCACAATATATATTATAAATGTAACATATCAAAGTTTTATATCCATACGAATCATAAAATTCACTAGCGCTAATATGTATCAAAAAAAAAAACAGAAAAATATATAAATCAGCATCGAAACACTTGACTTCTCGCCGTAAAGTGAGAGAGAAAAAAAAAAGTCAATATTATAAATTATATAAATGTATAACGTATATTGAAAAAAAAAATTATAAGATCAGTGATGAAAAATAAAAGTATGTCCTTAATAAAAACTAAATATATAATAATATACAATTAAACTATAAAATTAACATCACATACAATGTACATAGTTCCTGTTTTTGTTTTTTAAATTCTTCTTAACGTGTTTTTTTCACTACGTTTTTGTTGTTCTTGTTGTTTCTCTGCACATTAGGAACTCGGTCTGGCATTGTCGATTGAAAGGAAATGATGATTATGAAGAGAACGATACGATAATCCTTCCAAAGTACAATAAATATGCGTCACAAACGAATATAATAATTTAAAAACCGGTGGATCTGAAAATATCGTTTTTACAAAATTGTTTCATTCTTTTTGTTATTCTTTTTTTTTTTTGGTCCACGGCGTAAAAATATGCTTCTTCCATGTAGAAAAATTCTATTCACACACACACACTGGCTTGTACTAAGTTATTTCTCTTTCGTTTTAAAGAAGAAAACAAACGTCACTAAGTATATTAAAATAAGTTAAGGTAGTAATGCACAGGCGTGTTTATTTTTATTTATTTTTTTTTCAATATTTTGTTATGTTTTTGTTTTGAGAGAAAGTAAGTACCAAGGGTCTTTCGAGACTTGCGTCGGTTAGTTAATCAGGTACCTCCCTGTAGGGAATCTCGGACGTGACGTTGAAACCTTCGAAGTAGTGCGTGAGGAATTCGAAGGTCGGCCGATTCTCCGGTTTGCCGTCCCAGCAGCTTATCATTGTCTTGTAGATGTCGTCCGGAAGCTGATGCGACGTCGGTTTCGGCATCCTGTAGCCCTTCTCCACTTGTTCGATGACCTCTCTGCCGTGCATTCCAGGATACGGAACCTGTCCGAAGGTGAAGAGTTCCATCAGCAGGATGCCGTACGACCAGACATCGGATTTGATGGAGAAGCGACCGTAGACGATGGCTTCGGGCGCCGTCCATTTCACCGGGAATCTGCTTCCCTGTTTCGGGCAATACTCGTTGTCCTCGATGACGCGCGCCAATCCGAAATCACAGATCTTTGCCATCATGTTTTCGCCTATGAGAACGTTCCTCGCCGCCAGATCCCTGTGGATCAACTGCTTCGATTCCAGATATTCCATACCGGAAGCCACCTGGAAGGCGATGTATATCAAATCCTCGAAACCTAAGGTCCGTCCTTCGTCCTTCCTCAGGAAGTCCAACAAACTGCCCTTGCACATGTACTCCTGCACAATGTATATCGGTTCCTCCTTACTGCAAACAGCGTACAAAGCAACCAACTGCTTGTGCCTCAGTTTCTTCATGATCGCCGCCTCCTGCAGGAAGGCCGCGGTGGACATTGTGCCTTCACGCAGCGTCTTCACCGCGACAGTCAAGTCCTTCCACTTTCCATAGTAAACTTCACCGAAGTTACCGCGTCCCAGCTTCTTCACCAGCTTAATCTGAATCCTCGGAATCTCCCAATTATCCCTGACACCTGGACCCAAATCCCACATCTGCGGTTGCGGCTTCGGGCACGGCTTCGACAGTACATGACATAATCCAAACGCATTTTCTATTAGAAAAAAAAAATAATATAAAAAATCGTTTTTTCTTTGGTATGAATATTAAGAGACACTTACTCGAATAGGCTTGAACCAGTTCGGTGAGGGTCAGGAATGTTTTGTTGGTGGAGATGTAGAAGCCTCCATTGTCGAGAGGTTTTATCTTGTAGTGCTTGACATGGTATTCGCGCATCTCTTCCCAATCCTTCACGGAAAGTGAGTAACCCTGCGGATTGTGCTCCGAAGGTCGCACCAGGAAAGTCCCTCGGGGATTTTCTGCGGCCAGCAGAAGCTTATCGGCTTCCTTTCGTGAAACTTCCTCAAAAAACCAACTGCAAACAATGATAGTAAAATTAATACTAATTACATAAACATTTAAAAATATATATATAGTATGTTTATTAATGAAAAGAAAGAAAATTGTTATTAATATTACATAATTTATGAAAAACATGAGTCACTGTTGTAAGTTAACGTATTGATAACATATTACGAGCGAGTGACTATCTCTAGTAAAGTATGTTTAAACAGAAAATAAAACTGCAAATTCGACTTTCTATTTTGATTAGTTAACTTACTCTTCGCTTTCCACGCTCTGTTCTTTGGCCACAAAGTTTCCTGGGATGAGTCCTGTTTCTTTGGACAATAGATGCGTGACGGTCCACCAGTCACCATCGGAGTCATCCAGAACTTCCATCCTGTCGCCCTTCTTGAAGGACACATCGCTCACGTCCCTCGCCATGTAATTGTAAAGGGCGACGACGATCTTGTTGCACCTCGGAACGTTCGTCCTCGTCGGCGTCGGCCTCGTCCTGATGATGTCGACATGACTGCGTGGATTAGTTTCCAGGATGTGCGCCAATTTCCCTGTTAAAAGCAAGAAGAAAAAAAAAACGATTTACAACTTAGCTTCGAAGACACCATAAATCGAGATCGAGCACAATTTGCGACATTGTCGGACGTTCATCGTTCGCAATTCTTTCTATCTTTTTTTTTTGTCTGTACTGTTCTGTACTATCCTTTCAGCCGTTTGTTCGTTCCTGCTGCACCAAACGTCCGGTAATGGGATGACTAGTTTGCGGACATTTATGGCACTTCTTTATTGCACGGGGAACAGAGAGAGGAGCAGATGAATAACCATAAAGAAGAAGTGAACAAGAGAAAGTGAAGTAAATTACGGCCCTCGTCGATCCGTGGATTTATCCGATCCGCGCTTCGCAGACGCGAGGGATAACAGATCTCTTAGCACAGAGCTCATATCCATCGAAACAAATATATAGAAACATTGAGCTTTCGCCGGATTCGCGGAAAATATCCGGCATCATTTGAAATAATCGATTCCAACTAATGTGAGATCATTGCCGAGATGAAAGTTTAATTTAAGATTTTGACTCACGAGGATGTTTTTCAATAGATACAACAAATTCAATAGCTATGCAAATTGACTGCAATTATGCACACTTCATTCCTTTTTTGATATCGATTTCTCATTGTCCTCAATTACAGTATTTTTCCGACTACAAAACGCACCCAAAATGTATGAGACAAATACAATTAAATTATGTTTCTACATAAAACAATGACTTTTTTTCGATTGCACAAGATGTAACCTCAGTAAACTTGAGTAATAATCAATACAAAGTACTTAATCCGAATTCAGGTCAATTGTTTCGCTCCTCACGCTTCTATCCACGAATTTATTGTTCCTCCGAAGAGAGAATCGTGGTAATAGCATTGTTGGGTTGACAAATAAGACTATAACCGAAAATGGGTGCTGTTTACTTTTTTACCATCTGATAACATGGATCATGCATCTGTTATCTAAATAACTCAGGCATAAAATATACATAAAACGATAAATGGAAGGGAGGTTACATAAAAAAAGAGAAGACAAGAAGAGAGATTGCGTTCTTTTCAGATCCAGGATCTGTGGGATGCTTTGTTCGGATTGAACAAACGGGACAAGCACAAGGCGTGTCACTGTTGGCGAATAGAATCAGAACATGCACATATTTATTCTTTGATATACAAGCTTATGTAATAAATTATTAAGTGAATTGCAATTACTTGATGAGTTTACAAACAGGTTTTCAAAATTAATTACATTTTTCAGGTGTTAATATCGTTTAGTTTATAGCAAAGTTATATAACTTTCTGCAATGAACAGCTTTGAAGATACTTGTTTACGATAGTTAAGTTGTGTCTTGGATGGATGACAATTGTGTCTTCAAATAACAATTAGTTACATAATTAATAGAGTTGTATAATCTCTTGATAGTGGAGGAAAAACCAACGAACAAATACAGATACCATTAAAAACCATGTGTTTATTTATGCACGGAGGTCTTCTATTAGCTTTGCATCATCATCATCTATCTCGAGCATGTTTATTAGACGAAAGGCTAACGACCTAAAGGTATTTACTCTTTGTTGGTGCATATGCCTATAACGAGCAAATAAACAAATACAAAACAAGACGCAAGAATTCGGCGCTGTATGCATATGTCTTTGGTCAGAATTTATTGCACACATATTTTATAGAGCGATAATATAATTGCGAAAGTAAAAGTTGAAAGGTATAAATTCGAACTTATCTGGCGTACATAAATAATGCGATTTTATATGCGTCTCGCTATTATCTCCCAGAATGGAGAATTTACATTTAATTAACATGTCCCAAAGGGATTTTTTTCTTCTTCTTAAAACTTCTTCCTTCGGCGTGCAGACAAAATGGCCGGACGCGATCGACGAGCCATCGAAGGGAAGGAAACAGACAGGATGCGGCGCCAAAGGAACTTCTCTTCTCTCCTTTTATCGATGCACGTTAATAGCATTCAATTAAAAACGCAGACACACACAGAGTATAAAGAGAAGATAGATCACATTTTACGTATTCTATCGCAAATTACAGGAATTGCGATCCCCAACTTCCGTTTTATTTAACACTCCTTCCTGTCTGCAGGAGAGATACACGAATAATGGAAATACCACAAATAATAATCACGCTGTTATCAATTCAATTCGCTGTTGAAAGAACGCAATTTCATGATTTTTCTCATCTCGTTTCAATTTGTATCCTTTGCATGAAATTAAGGATGCAAAAATCGCTGCGACAAAGAACAATGACTAATGATTAAATTTGAATAATTCGCGAGAGAGCAAAAATTGTGATCATATTTTCGTAATTATTGTATTAATTAATTGTTCATCGCTGCATGTGAAAATTAATCATCGTAGAGAGATTCAGCACGAGTTTTCTATAGAAAATCCTTGTGGTTTATTATTGTTTGTTTCTTTACTAAATGTGAGGAGTGGCGGCGACCTTAGGCAGTGAATCCCTATCATTTAATTCCCGGTATTTCCAAAATCACGTTTATAAATAAATTCAGAAGTCAATATGTAGAAAAATTTCACATTAAAATGGAAAAAATACAGCATAAATCGATTAACCTTTGATCTGCAAACACTTTGATTTATATTAAATTTTTTTTCGCAGTGTAATTTACAAATTATTATGTTTCCAACGTCGATATGTTATTCCATGTTTCCAGATTCCAATTATAGATATAATTCCTAGACGTTTCTTTTTCTTTTTCATTAATTCCTTGCGCGTAATTGAGGACAGGACTTAATCAAACGTTCCACCCTCTTCGATTCTATTTCCTTTCATTTCGCTGATATTGCTGAATTATTTTCCATCAAAGAAATCACATTTGATGTCAAGATACATTAAGAGTGTTGATTGATTCTTATAATTTCATTAAGTATAAAATATAAAGAATTATAATAAATATTAGAACAAATACAAATTCTACGATTCTATTATCAATTGGAGTAGTTATAAGTGCACTTATCGAGATGATTGCACTTATCGAAGTTATTGAATGAAATATTTGTATGTATCGTTTAAATTGCGAAACTAGGTTGAAGAAAATTCCGGACTTTCTCACGGAAACAGACCGGGGCTTTATAGGAAAATTTTATCGTGAAATATTGGTTTTTCGGTCTTGTTATCTGTTGTATAAACTACCGGAATGAATTGGCCCGACCTTGGGAGATCGAAGATGCGAAATGCACAATGCATTTTTCGTGCACAATGCATTCGGCATGGCACAAATAATAGGTGATTTATATATAATAAAAAGGACTTGTTTGGTCGAAGACAATGCGCGTTTTCTCTTTTCGCTTTATCGTGTACGTTTCGGGGTTTCGCATTCGGAATAATGCCTTTCTGTGATTACGTTATTACATGTTTATAATTCTTTTACTTGCAAGGGACACTCCTTCGAGAAGCAAAAGGAGTGATGATGAATTGAAGAGAGAAAGAGATGCTATTGTTCGCTTCGAGTTATAAATATTAATATAATCCACGTACCATCAACTCCGGAATTGTGGCCGATGTTCTTCTGCAGCGGATGGCGTCTGGGCTGCTTCTCGTGGCAGCAGCAGTTCCCCATGGCGAAGAAGTCCTCTTCTTCCTCCTCCGCGTCAGTCAATGAGACAGCAGTTGCAAATCCCTCATCTAGAACAAGACAAACACAATTATTATGGATTTCGATGGACAATGAAGAGAGGTTTGCGTACGAAAAGCAAATGATTTACCGGTGGCGTAATTAACCGAGCGCGGCAAGGGAACGGGATTAGAACGGTAATTCCGTCGTGTAATGGGATGTGGATTCGGTATCCGATAAGTTTTCTAATTAGGGAAATGACAGAGTAATTTTTAACGCTTTAATGGTGAATTAACAAAAAATAATGGACTCGGAGCTGTGTTCTCTCCACTTCCTCCGAGGCGAAGGAAAAACGTTTCAGTAGATAAGCAACGGATCGTGATAGAATTTACACAACATATGCATTTATGATTCCAATATGAAAAAGAAAGAAGCAACAACAACGATTGGCGATTCACGCCTCGCCATCAATATGCGATGGGTTTGCCACCTCTTGAGATGGGCGCAACAGCTGCAAATGTACAAGTCCATCATCCAATTAAAAAAAGAAACAAACAAACCCAATGCAAATGGTGAGTTTGTAAAGCAAAATTGGCAATGAGGAATATTTAAAGATTTTCTAAATGGATTTTCTTCTCTTGGTAGCTGTGATTCGTGACCTACACCCACGCCCGACCGTTTAACTATTATGAAGAAAAAACAGAATTCTCCTCCTCCTCACACGCATCTCCATCCAGTCCAACTGGTCGGAAGATGTACTGTTAGATGATGTAGCGTAAATGCAATTAAGAATTCTTCAAATCTGAACCACATTCCGCACACCATTTTACCGGTGTGCTGTTTCGAGCGGCTAATGAACATATGGACCATGACCTCCCAGCATCGACGACGACGATGACGAAAACGATCGCACTTCAAAGCACATCGATCCGTTCATGTCATCATCATCATCATCGTAGTTGTTAACATTAACATCATTTACAGTGAAAGTCGAACATTACCTTTTCCATCGATGCGAAAATTCCATTTGGAAAACTTTTGCAACGCAAACAAATTTCGCAAAACAAAAATAATATATAAAATCAGTATATTATTATACGTGCAATTGCATCAGGTATTCAGAAAAAGGTAACGGATTGTGTTGTGATGTTGTTTTCTTTTTCTTCCTTTTTTTTGCGTACGAAAGTTTCGGCAAGGTCAACCACCTGTTTATACCGATTTCGCAGTTTACTCTTAATACGAGTATTAAATAATATACAGATGTTTTCATTATCGCTTCGAGAAACTCGAACAATGTGAAGCAATCAAATTACTTTTCTATTGCCTACGAAGAATTAACACGAATCTTCCTGCTAACACTTTTCATTTCTTACGTAATCATCATCGATCATTTCAATTCATAATCATAATAAGTTATTTTTAACTGAATAAGAGTAGTTAGTAAATTGTCTCTTTTCATTTTGTATATGTCACATTTCTTTGTAATTTTTAAGTAATGTTTGTATAAAGTAAAATGTGTATTACTAAAAGTTTGTAATGAATTGATTTGCGCACTATGAGAATATTCCAATTCACTGTTGCAGATTTCGCTTTTTGATTTGCGTATTTCACTTTCCATTTTCGCTCCTACTAGTCTTTCCGAGATATCGGCGAAATGTAAGCGTTCTTACTTTCAAATTTAATGGAAGTGAAATGATGTGACTTTTGTTGAAACATTTCATTCAATTCAGAATCAGCATATTCCAGAAATGTAATCATAAACAAATTCATTCAATTCTCCAAAGATTTCGATAATAACATAAGATTTTTCAATTTCAAAAGTCATTTGATTCTCAAGATATTCTTAAATTGAAACAATAAATGTATTACGAAAAAAACTATTAGTAAATCTTCATATGAAAAGTGGAAACAATGCAAAGCGATACGAATCCAATTATTTAAATTTTGATAGTTTTAACTATGATTTACATATGACTATAAAACTACTTCAGACTTTAATCTTGATTTAAAATCTGAAGCTCAACTATCCTAAAGCATTTGAATAATTTTAAAAGTCGTAACTCATCGCTAATGTACACGATTTTAAGTAAAGCTACACGATCTTCAAGCCAAGACAACAACAACAAAAATGTGACAAGGAAATCCATTATGAAACAGAATGAATGGTTGTTCCGGAGGTCGGCACATCAAAGGCGAAAGTATTTTCAGTTTCATTAACTTAAACTACGTGTCTGTCGAAACGGGATGATTCTTAAATATAACCCCCCGAACATAATGCCCGCATTCTCTTCGCATCCCAAAAATAGATCATCGCCCGAACAGATGTTAAAATTTGCATAATTCCACAACAAAAAAAAACATTACACTTCAAATTTATGGATTATTTTTCTTGAAACACAAGAACCGACTGAAACTTTATATCTCTGCGAGTGTTTAGAAGAAATACAAACTTAATTCAGTGTATATTATTTTAGTTAGTCGTCGTAAATCTCTTCGGTTCCTGGAGGATTGCGATGCGAAGAACGCGTGTGGGTTTTAGCTACGAATTTTTCTCTCTCACTCCACGCGAATCTAATTATGTTTGATGCTTTCGCGTTATTTATGTACGTAAATTTATGTAATAAATTGTTGTAATTTGATACGACTTGTTCCACGAAAGCAATAATTTAGAAGAGAATTTACAAAAAAAAAAATCGGTCGTTGGCCTTTTTTTTTGTTTCAATTATAATTCTTCTGCGGTAAAAACTCAATTGGTATTTTATCTTTTGAAACTTGACTGGATTCTCCTATTATTATTATGATGAAGCAGAGAATGAAGATATTGATTTGGTGTGCTCATCCCGTTCGTTCATTACAAAAGGCTGAAACCCGGTCAGACGGAGTGCGGAAATCCTTCCATTGTCGCCAAGTTCTTTTCTCTTTGCTCGTGTTTCTTTGCACCGAAGAAAAGTGGGGAAAAAAATATACAGAAGTTTTTTTTCTTCTTACACGTCCAGTGGCCTGCGAGAACCGAACAAATGAATTATGTAGGTAGGATGATTACAGAGTTATATAACAGGAGAAAATCAATGTTGCACATTGAATTATATAGTTTAGTTATAGGATTTAAAGAACTTGATATGCTTTAATCATAGGATTATTAGCATACAGTAAGAATAATGAAGACAGTAATTGTATACAAACTGTTTAACGTGTTCTGTGCATTTTACTTGAATTATTAAGAAAACTATGTATTTTCAAGCATTTGCTACATTAACACTAACTTCATACACTCATATATACAATAATAATCAAGTTTGAAATACTTTGTGATGGTTTTTGAGGAGTAAAAGCATGAGTATAAAAAAATATTGCTATATGAATAACAAATATTGCTTTATCAATAATTATACATTAACTAAATAAATAAACATGAAATACGAAACTCCACGCAAGTCTCATTATACATAAAACAGGTTAATGCAATTAGCACAGACGCCGGCTCTATAAATAAATCAGATTGCGATTGTGAACAAAACACGGGCACAAAATGCAAAAGCAGCGATTGAAAATTCGCAATTACATTAAGTGGGAGCGTCGAAAGAATGGATTTTCTAATTTCTCGATATGAACAAGAGTTTTTCCACAAGAAAATTTCTCTGCGCGGAGAAATCTGTAAAACATGTTTCATCCGTGGAACCGCATTATTTTCACTGCTACAGCAAAAAAAAGACTAATTGATTTTCGCTAATCACTCATTTGAAGTTTACAAGAGCAGATGTTTTCCATCATTCTTTCAATTTCTTTATATAAACTTCTTAGTTTTTGTTCTATTCTCAATATCAAAACTGTGATCACTGCTGAAAATGTTTCTAAACAAATTGAATTTCAATTAATTCAATATTAACAAAAAAAAAACTTTAGTCAAGAATCTGTAAAACATGTTTCATCCGTGGAACCGCATTATTTTCACTGCTACAGCAAAAAAAAAGACTAATTGATTTTCGCTAATCACTCATTTGAAGTTTACAAGAGCAGATGTTTTCCATCATTCTTTCAATTTCTTTATATAAACTTCTTAGTTTTTGTTCTATTCTCAATATCAAAACTGTGATCACTGCTGAAAATGTTTCTAAACAAATTAAATTTCAGTTAATTCAATATTAACAAAAAAAAAACTTTAGTCAATAAATACCAAAAGTTTTAATCAAAGAATATTTAGTTTAATTGTATATTTAAATATCATAATTAAATGTAAATATTTTTATCAAATAATGTTAAATAATTCTATGAAATTCCTGATATTACGTATTTTTAAAACAAGATATAATGAAGCCACATCCGCAACGAAACCGCAGATATAACACATGAAAATTGCGTTCGATTTCCTCCTTCCGTTTGTTTTTTTTTTAATATATAATTCTTTAAAACCAAATCAAATTACACAGACTAAAGTAGAATTGAAACGATAAGACTTAAATTCTAAACACGGATCACATTAGATGAATAACAAATAACGAAAATAACAACACGACTCCACTTTCGCGAAATCCGAATGGAATCGAACAACGAATTATTTATAAATCGCGTTTACTTTCGTTGATCGAAACAACAATAAAATGCGTCTTTTCTGCGGTTATTAAAATTCCCAACCGAATTATTTAATAAGTCATGGAAGTGCGTTAAGGAAATAGAAGTTTTTGTAGGAAATACGTTGTTTCGCGAGATTGGAATTGAATTTGAATTATATCAATCACGTTTACTTTCATTTGATTCAAACGAATAAGAAAATGTCTTCTGCGGATATTAAATTCTCGACCAAATTATTAGATAAATCTGGTGAGAATAAGTAGAAAATACGTAAATTTCCTTGTAGAGGATGAGATTGGAGGATGCAGAAAGAGAAGAGTTTGGTCTATGAATAGTAAATAGAGGATAAATATCGTAGGACTGAGTCATATTGGTCGGTCGTTCTGACGTTTATGGTCGCTAGTAAAGTGGTTTAATGCTTTGCATTAATTTCCTTTTTGCAAAACAACAATAAAATCCCGACCGTTACGCTCCGTGCGAGATTATTGAGCTAATTATGTAAGCTGGA